TATTTCAAATCTCGCCATAAAAATCTTTGTTCGTACAATGAATAAACTTTGCTTTCATAACAGTAATTTAGAAAGAAACCAAAACAATTCTGTTGTATACAAAAAAATTATGTTCTTCAAGTACAACACGAACTTTTCTTCACACAATCATACACGTAATTGTTAATTCCTTTTGCGGGTTCCTTTAAGCGAAAATGACAAGTTTTCCGATTTCAATTTTCCCGACTTGGCAAAGAGTTGCCTGGAGCATAACACTTCACTTTTTCAACTTCCCGAACTTCACCATAAACTTTGAATATTCACTCGTCGGTTCTGTATGTAGAGTTCAACTAATTATAACCTGAAACGCACAGAGAAGTTGCGACGTAACCTGAGGTGATTCAAAATTATACTCCTATATGCCTAACTGTGAACCATCTGAAAATATACAGGGTGGCCCATCCAGCTAGGTTCATAGCTTCATAAGTGAGGATTCAAAAATTGGGTTGTTACTTTTGTTCTCAGGGACTTTTATCTCATCATTATGAGTGATGAGATAAAAGAGTAGCACTCAGCTTTTTTTGTGTGAAGGGTATGCATTATTTTGATTATGAGTTACAGTCCGATACTAGAGTATACATTTTTTTTTTAAATTTGATCGATAAATATTACACAGCGAAAATAAATCATCACGAGTTTATTGCCTGGGCAAATTCTGGCCAGACTATGACCATATGATTTTTAGTTAACCCCTTACCTTCAAAATACACGTGTACACATCTCACAGCTGACGGAGTATTAGTTTGTAACATGTATGGAAAGAAACTTTGTATGTTGAGAAAGCATTGCTTTTCAGCAAAAAAATATTGTTGAAGTCATGGCTTGGCTTGATAAATATTACTCGGACTTTGCAGCAGAAAAATCAACCGTTGATTAGTGGTTTGTGAAGTTTAAAATATGTGAAATGCAAAATGGTTCAAAATCAATTGATATTTGAAATTTCAATCGATCATAGGTTCGCCAAGATTTTTTCAACCAACTCGCTTGAGATTTATATATCAATATATTCAATTTCATATGAAACATTTCTTATCGAATGAACAGATGGATGAAGATTGTTTCTAATTCTTATCTTCCACTATTATGTCGAGGAGAAATCCATCCCTCCTCATGCCACATTTTGAAAGGACAAGTAAGTCAAATCACACAGCATGAAGAAAGACAGATATATGAAAGATATAAAGTATCTCTCTCCCGCTCTTTCGTCCAGAAATCGAATTCCTTCACTGGTATTTCACTTGGAAACTCATTTTTGCGTGGTCTTGGTTAATCTTTATGCCGAATATCAGATGATTCCAATGAGCTTTCCAAAAATGTGAAATGCAAAGTGGTTCGAAATCAAGCCATTATTCGAATGAGTATAATGTTAAGAAATTCATATATGGAATTTTAATCGATCATAGCTTCGCCAAGATTTTTTCAGCCAACTAGCTTGAGATTCATATTTCAATATACACAATTTTATATGAAACATTACTCATCGAATAAACAGATGGATGAAGGTTGTTTCTAATCCTTATCTCCCACTATTATGTCGAGGAGAAATCCATCCCTTCTCATGCCACATTTCTCAAGCACAAGTGAGTCAAATCACACAGCATGAAGAAAGACAGATATATGAAAGATGTAAAGTATCTCTCTCCCGCTCTTTCGTCCAGAAATTGAATTCCTTCACTGGTATTTCACTTGGAAACTCATTTTTGCGTGGTCTTGGTTAATCTTTATGCCGAATATCAAATGATTCCAATGAGCTTTCCACTTGCAAAACTAAACTTTCTTTCTTGTGATTCTTTTCAGTTTTCTGCTATCTCAGAATCGAAGAATTGGGAAGTAAGTTATTCGATGTTCTTATCGTGAAACGAGCAAAAAAAGTTGCAACTTTTGTGGAACATATTCTCGCCACAATTCATCATCAACCTTGATGGAATCAGATCCCTGAAACAACGCAGCCCTGTTTCGACTAGCTAAAGTCCCAGCACCGGTGCTATAGTCTGAAAGAATGCCATAACAGCGAAATTTGGTACTTAACCAATTTATGTTTCTGTGTTATTCATAAATGGAATCGGAGAATTAGATTTTCGAATAAGATAACTCTTTCATTGACTTTTAAAAAAAATTAACAGATTTTTTCCATAATTTGTCTGATTATCAGGTAGGACCGAGAAAAAAAAATATAGCCTCAAAATTAAACACCCTAATGTATATGTGTATACATGTGTATAATATACTGCAATGAACATATATTACACACATATAGATGGAGCTAAAAAAGTTCCACTTCAGTCGCTAGGCCTAAAGCACACTCGCCTGTTTTCATTAGCAAATACAAATCTGTGAATCTTTTTGGAGTATTTTTAATGAGCCACCCTGCATTTTCCTGGTAACATACCTCAGTCGCTTACTTGATGATACAAAATCCTCTTATGTTTGTTGTTTGGAAGGAGGAAACTTGATATAAGCATCTTTCGGTTTTCCGTTTAACTAACGAGCACTCTTAATAGAGAAGGTATCTTTATGGAGTAGAATTTCAGCTTCACTGTCTCGAAAATGCTAATATACGAAATATAGTCTTCTATTCATAGAATTGAATGACTTCTACATAGCTTCAAGATTCACAACATGTCTCTCATACTCATCGTGTAATAGCCAGGGCGCCGGCTTATGACTTAGAGATGGGGGATTTCCATTGATCCTCTACAAGTGTTTTGGATTGATACGAAAATATTGTAATCACTGTTTAATATGACCTGTCACGAATCTTATTGTGACAAATCAAATTCTACGTGGGCAAAGCCGCCGGAAACAACTAGTAAATAATAATCGAGATATGGAGCTGCAATAACACACCACATTTAAACGGACAAAACTTTCGAAATTTCGCAACACAAATAATATTATATACCAAAATACCAAACTTTTCAAAACAGAATTGCTTTTTCACGTGCTTGTGTTCTTGGTGTTTGAAATAAATTCAATACTCAGACACGCTAGTCGTGCTTACCATCGACCCAGGCAAACGTGAGGCTAAAATACTACATGGGCTCAAAAGTCTCAGGCCTGACATATAGATTGCGCTATTTTTTGAATTTACCGCTTTTTCAGTGGGTAACAACCTTCAAAAGAAAGCTGTTGAAATTTCATGATATTCTACTTTCAAATTTGTGTCTACAATCATCTTCGGGTGGTGGATACTAACAATCGAAACGTCGTGACGTAACTTGGTTTGGAAATCACTGTTTAATATGACCTGTCACGAATCTTATTGTGACAAATCAAATTCTACGTGGGCGAAGCCGCCGGAAACAACTAGTAAATAATAATCGAGATATGGAGCTGCAACAACACACCACATTTAAACGGACAAAACTTTCGAAATTTCGCAATACAAATAATATTATATATCAAAATACCAAACTTTTCAAAACCAGTTATGGAATATTTAATTTTCCGTAATTTATGACGAACATTTGTTCCACAACTTTGTTGTTGAAATCTATAGTCACTACTTCAATGATAGTTGTTCAAATGTATATTTCATGATTGTCCCTAGTAACCCAGACAAAGTGAACGGTTGAAAATTAGCCATACGCTTGATTCGAGATTCATACGATCCGTAGATGACAGAAATTGTCAACATAAGACTGTTTCTGTTTGGAATCCATATTTCCGCTAACTAACTGTCGCCACCCCACGTATGACAACCCTCAGAAATTGACACTTGTACGAGCTGAAGATTGACGAAGCCTTGCCTTATTACGTACGATTCGAGTTGAACGATATGCGGTAGATAATTCGTCCTAACGAATATATTTTGTAAGACTATGGCAAAAAATCAAAAGGCGAAAACCGGGTCGAAAATTCAAGTCTAGGCTCTGTTTCACACAGAAAAAAAGTATAATCTTCACATATATAATTTTTCTTTTTCCGTTGATCAGATGATTCACAAGAATACCATAAAGCCCTTTCTTGAATTTTTAGAAATGATAATTAAAAAAAAAATCATAATTAAATATAATTAACTTTCCAAAATTCCATATTTACTACTTTTGTTGACTCTAAAATTTGTTTTTGCCAAAAAAACTTTTCTGAAGATACATATCAGAAGCGATTTCTCGCACATTTTTCAAACGAACTCAACAGAACCTTCATAAATGTCAACATATTGAAAATCAATCTATATTTCAATCATTGCTTCTAAAATCAATACGTCACGTTCTAGAAACGTCGACAAATCAACATCGCACTACTTGCCCGATCCAGTGAATTAAACAAATACTTGCACGAAAACTCATCAAAACTATTCCAAGCTACGATAANACCATAGACAACGACCTGTGTTCGCTGAATGGACTCTGGAGCAGTTGGCAACTAACCCTATTTTCACTGTTTCAACCCAAATTGAGGAACATTTCCCATTGCAGGCCTTTGGATGAAAACTGTAATGAATCTGTTTTAGCAGTGAGCAGTGCAATGTTCAAGAGATTTCAGAATTGTTGAGATATATCAAGAAAACAGTTGAAAATTATACCTGAAACTGCATAAAATTATTTGTTCAAGATGAATAGAAAGGTTTATAGACTATAGGGGGAATAATTATGATCCAACACCAGCAAAACGCAGTTTCAACCCGCGTGGTATCATCAGTGATGCTAGACTGAATTAATGAAATGTCCCAAAATGGGCAAGACTTGGAGAGGCATGTTATCTCCTTTTCTTTCAAGGACAATTCACCTATCACCACAAATGGAACAAATGAACAAGGAAAAAGTATATGTATGAGTTTGAAAATGTCCTTACAGGACGAAACATCTCTAACGTTAGTTACAGATAAAAGTGATAAGAAACAGAAAGTTTCAAAACTCATTTTTCTAAGAAAAAATTTTTTGTGAACTATGAGAATATCGAAAATTGAGAACAGCGAGCTTTCTTCAGTAATTTTGACTGTTACTACAGTGACTTACCTGTAGATAGGTGTCCCGAAATCTTCTCTGTACCACAACACTAACAACACTTGATCACCAGGTTCTATAGTCGATATATCACAAGGCAGGTATACTGGATCTCCCGCTACAGCTTCCATGTTCACTATGGTAACTGAAAGAAAAAAAAATTATTTTGCTTCTGTTGGGTCATCAAAAAATGTGAGTAGGAATGAACTGATCAATTCGCCAATGAAATGCTGTCAGTAAAATGAGTAAAATGTGAAAAAACGAACCAGTTGTTTGACACTGACAGAAATATTGTATATAGATTCAACCATGTTATTTGGTTATTCCATTATGTACCTGTGTTACAAACTATTCAGAGCTATCTACAAATGAACATTATTCGTTAGACCCTCATATGCGCCTTCTATTGTATCGAAAAGAAACTCAATATACATCAAATGAAAAATCACTATCCAACTATATGTTTCTGGAGTGAGAGGCTAGATGGACTCTATACAGACTTGTGCACTACTACAGTTCTGTCTGTTCGTAGTTGACAAATGATTGAAACCAATAGGTTAAGTTTCAAACCTTTCTTCTGGAAATGGAGGGGTTTGTATCCATGGTTGAACTCATGTCCCTCTGAGATTGAATGACTGGCATATGTGGAATTTTTGTTTCCATTCTGAAAACTATAATTGTGTTCCTTTATGCGGGCTATGAACGTTCTTCCAGTTTGACCTATATAAAACATCGGACATGACCCACACAATAATTCATACACTACTGACATTTCTGAAACTGAACTTTTATTTTTGTTATTTTTAATGTGCATGCCCAAGTTGTTGTTGGTTTTGAAAGCAGTATTTACACCTTTGCTGTGCAGAAAATCTGAAATATTTGTAGTGGGTTGGCCTAAGTAGGTTAAGGTTCTATAACTGTTATTCTCTTCTCTTCGAATTGGGTAAACTTTTTTCAAAGCTTGACTGCATAACTTTTTTGATAATAAAGAATGTATCAGACCGCTATCATAATCATTGCTGACGGCTATTTGATTTATTATATTCAATTCATCCGGTATATAAAGATTNAAGGGTACATCTATCAGTCTGTGGATCATACTGTTGAAAGCTGCTACCTTATGCTGATGTGGGTGAGTGGAAGAATTATGAATGATAATATCTGTGTGTGCCGGTTTACGATAAATTGAGAAATCGTGTTTGTTGTCAACTTTTGTTATTGTCAAGTCCAAAAAATGTATTAATGTACTTAAATGGAATAGGACGAATCTATACGGTTCTCGGTCCCATATTATTACTGTTGTATATTAACGATTTGATGAATATAAGTATATTTGGAACATTCACTTTTTTCGCTGACGACACCACTATGTTGTGGCATAGTAAAGGTATATATATATACTCAATGAGACAATAGCTCATGATATACAAAAAATCAAGTTTTGGTGTGATTCCAATCTACTCTCGCCTAATATTTCTAAAACAAATATTATGACTTGCGAATGTTCACTTCAGAATTTATCTGTAACGAGTGGTATCGTTGAGAACAGAGAGTGTACTATATTCCTGAGACTGTATATAGACGGTGGACTGAAATTTGACGCTCACATCACTATCCGTAGCAGCCTCACGAAAACCAGGCCCCCAAACGCGGATTGCGATTCCAAGAATTGCATTTACCGGATACCCTGTGAGTGCGGAAAATTTTCCGCACGAACCAAGGAGCATTCACAATCATCCTAATTAGCTTATTTTGCAATCTTTCCAAAATGGAAATGTTGGACGGTGCCGCTTGTCCCCAGACGCCTGAAGCATACATGATGACAGGCTTGAACGTCGTGTTATAGATCATGATTTCGTTCTTCATGCTCATTTTTGATTTTCTGTTGATCAGAGGGTACATATTGGCTATGCGACCCTCGATCTTAGACTTAACGTACATGATGTGCGGGTTCCAAGTGAGACGAAGGCCGAGGTACTTTACCCTCGCTTGCCAGTCAATCTCCCTTCCAGAGATTCTCACTTTTCTGGCCGGAAAAGATAGTAATCTTCCCATGGTTATCGCCTGAGTCTTTTCCGGGTTTACTCGGATCTTCCAATCGAGGTACCAGCACTCGAGGTCATCCAATGCACGTTGCATGTAGACGACGCCGAGCTCTCGACCCATGGAAGATGAGAGAAGAGCCGTGTCATCGGCGTACAGGGATATCTTCACTCGCTAGGACCTAGGCAGGTCGCTGGTGTAGAGTGAGGTGTGTGTAGCCCCAATTTGCTGGAGTATGTATTACAGAAGAGAGCTATACGATACTTTTGCAAAGCTGAACCTCGTGACTCATGCAGGCAACTGTTTATAGATAAAAAAAAGACGGTAGTAGCTCTTTTTATTCTGGAGACAATGTGTTCAATTAAGAATCTTGTGACACTTGAGGTTACCACCCATCACTATACAACTCGTCAGAGCATGCAAAAAAATTTAAAATTACCTTTCCCTTGCAACTCTCTGGTCAAGGACTCCTTATTTTACAATGGTGTGGAGATGTAGAACCATCTGCCGAGTTACAATAAAGAGATAAATATTGATATCAATCAGTACAGAAAAATTATCAAAGAAATTTTGAGTAGTAGAACCTATTACAGTTTGACTGTAATAGGGATTTCGTATTGAATACATGAATGGTTGAACAGATCACTTTTCAACAATGTTGAAAGATTTCCACCGACGCGAAGTCCGTCTGGAGAAAGTTACAGATTTCAAATCGAGGCGATGTTTACGAAAAATTTTGAAATGAGGAAATGAAAAGGCACTATTTTCCGATACATTCGCCATCCATACGGGCAGGCTATTTCGTAGTCAATTCTTCCCATTTGATGGACAGAATTTACGAGTACAACGATTAACCGACTGACTAGATTCTTCAAAGGTTTATATTATGCAGAAACATTATCAAGGTGACCTTTCCAATTTACCAAAAAAAAACTCTTAACTCACCGGAACAAAAGTACTCTCGACCGAATAAAAACAGTTGTCATTTCACCAAGTTCCGAAAAATTAAACAAACGTCAGTGTCCCAAGAGGACAAACACTTCAAACTCCATTCCACCACTTACGACCCTCCCGCCTTCATCCTCTACCGCCCTTTCGAAAGCAGCACGACGACATGCCCCAACTCAGCGAGTCACTTCGAAATAACCTACACGGAGCATTTCGTATTCGAATCCGGTAGTGATGAGAGCAAATTAGCTCGAAACTGCGATATTCCGGAGGAATTATTAAATCTGATACGCCCAATGAAACCCCAATCCACTCGAAAAGTGAACACGAATTTCTGCATTCACCGTATACGTTGAGCTCGTCGAGTTCCACCAAACTTATGTCGAAGATACATATACGTAATGGGGTTATGGGCTGAGTTTCGTTAACTTGGGTGAAGGGTTGAAGGTTATGATGTGATAACGAAACTAGAGTGATATATATAGGGTCTTTCAACAGGAACTGCCAAACTTTGACAATTGATAACGGCCAGTGGTTGTTGTAGTACATGTCAAATTAGTTTTCATTTATTCAGTATGTTTTGCCAAATCACCATAGATGGATATAGCATTCAACAACACGTCCAAATAATGAAATTGTTCAATCAAAATGAGTGTTCTATCCGGTGAACGTACCGCGCCTCACTAATTTTACTGTTCCTATAAACGTCGCCGCTGTCTGTGAGAGTGTGCAGAAGAATCCAAGGCAGTCGATTTCACGTCGCTCACAAAAACTCCGCCTTTCGCAGACTACAACTTGGCGAATTTTGCATCGTGACTTGAGCCTGCACCCGTACAAAATTCAACTGACCCAAGAACTGAAGGTAACGACCATGGACAACGTCGTGTGTTCACTGAATGGGCTCCGGAGCAGTTGTCAACTGACCCTACTTTCAAACTAAATTAATAAAAACACTTTTGTCAATTTGAACTGTCGATTATCAATATCGGATATGGGTAACCAACTATCAAGTTTTACAAATGACACTTTGGATCTCTAGATTTGTCATATTCGACTGTTGATTACTTATAAAAAACAACCAATTACCTATAATCGTCATTTCGATTTGTTACTTAATCAAATTCTATAGTTCAAAATAAGCGATTTTATCGAATAGATAGATAATCGATAATTTCAACTATCAAATTTGGCTGACCAATAGTTTGATCTGTTGGTTATGGATAACTGGCAGTTTAAGGTATAACTCACAGGTGTCACTTATAGGAGATGAATATGATAGTCTGAACTATCAATCTCTACTTCACTGCTCGATTTAAACTATAAAATATAGCTAATAGACAATTTGAACTGACGATTATCAATATTGAATATGGATAACCAACAGTTCAAACTATCCACTGTGACAAAAGACACTTCTAATTGTCTGTTAGCCGTATTCGACTGTTGATTACCTATAACAAACTACTAACTACCTATAATCGTCATTTTTATTTGTCGATTAGCCATATTCTACAGTTCAAACTGAGCGATTTTATCGAATACATAGGTAATCGATAGTTTCAACTGTCAAATTCGGCTAAGCAATAGTTTGAACTGTCGATTATAAATATTCGGCAGTTTCGAATGTCGGTTATAGGTAATGAATATGATTGGTCTGAACTATCAAACTCTATTTTCTTGCTCAGTTCAAACTGTCAAATATGGCTAATCGATAGTTTGAAGTGTCGATTATCGATATCGAATATAGGTAACCAACTGTTAAAACTATCAAATTCAACAAATAACACTTTCAACTATCGATTACCTATACTCGACTGCCAAATATCAATTACAAACAGCCGATTACCTATTATCGACTCTTTCAACTGTCGATTAGCCATATTCTACAGATCAAAGTGAAGATTGAATTCAGATAGATTAGTGACCGATAGTTTGAACTGTCAATTATGAATATGACTAAAAGACGGTTTGAACTGCCAATTATGACAAAAATTATCAATGGTCCTTCAGCTCCTTCGTATGTTCCTGCACCTTCCATCAGCCCATTTGGAACATCCCGAAACATCGTGAATTTAATAAGTATAAATTCACTGCCGACGCGAGTTCGGAGCACATTACTTTATAAATGAGTTCTCGTCCGGGAAAAGG